AGAGAGCGGTGACAGCAATGAAAGATTACCTCCATTCATTGAGCTACTGAGAGGGAGAGATGGACGAGATGGTCGAGACGGAGAGCCTGGACCTAAGGGATCTCCTGGTGCCACAGCAGAGAAAGGAGATACTGGACCTCAGGGACCTCCAGGACCCAGCAGTGGAGGAGTCACATACATCAGGTGGGGTCGAACCACCTGCCCCAACACACCTGGAACCGAACGAGTCTACTCTGGAAGAGCTGCTGGGACATCCTACAATGTTCAGGGAGGAACTAGTGACTACCTCTGTCTCCCAGATACACCAGAATACTCCACCTACCGGCCTGGTGTACAGGGATATTCCCCAATACATGGTGCTGAGTATGAAACTAACCATGCAACTCTACCTATTCCAGGTGTGCACGAGCACAATGTTCCATGTGCTATTTGCCTCAATAGCCAAAGAAAAGCGGTTCTAACAATTCCAGCTCGGTTCACCTGTCCTTCTTCGTGGACCCTGGAATACAATGGGTACCTCATGACAGCCCGTCATAGCTATCGCAGAACAGCTTTAGCTTGTGTTGACAAGAATGCTGAGAAAGTACCTGGTGAGGCTGCCAACACTAATGGAGCTCTATTCTACAACATTGAGGCAACGTGCAATGGAATACTATGTCCTCCGTATGACCCTGAAAAAGAACTTACTTGTGCAGTTTGCACAAAATGAGACTCTTGCGTGAGAGCAATGTATGTGTGGAAGACTATGGCACTACTGTATAAATGTGGACCAGTGTAGTATGAAATTAACAACTTGTATATAGTATTTTAGTTTGAAATTAACAACTTGTATATAGTCCCCCCACCACTTCCCGCACGCGCGCTCACACACACAAATAGACTCGGTAACTTGTGCAGTAGAAGTTGGACGAGTGTATGTAACTGCACTGAATGGGATTTTATAAAGTTGTGCTCCATTGTATCTAAACGAATATTATTGCAGAGTGTGCATAGAGCTGGCAGCTTACTTACTATAGTGCACAAGAGTAAAGCCCCGTTTTTAGTGGAACCATAGTAAGCTACTGTGGCAACAAAGCATTCACATTAAGTGATACATCAGGCCAACACCACCTTCCTGCATTATCCCAGCAGGTCCATTACACTCAGTCATACCTGCCATCAACTTTAATTCCAGGCTACTAGGTGAGAAAAGAGAGCCTGGTGTTTAAGCTTTGTGTAATGAGGGTATACAATGACCTCAGGAGCGCATAAGGCACCCCCAGCTGCACAAAACAGTGAGTCGGGAAACAGGATATTCAAGACTGTGATGTTGCTAGGAAATTGATACTGGGTGTGGCTAGCTGATGCACATTATTACCCATTGCATACAAGAGAATATAAAAGCAAGAGCAGTGGAACAGTCAGTGCAACGGAGACACAAGTGACTGGCATTTTCATCTCAGCAAAAATGTGTCCTTTGTGTAGTGTAGTATTGTAGTTTGATTGTAGTAATTAATAACTTGTAGTCCCCTCACCACTTCCTGCACACGCGCTCACACACAAACAGATTCAGCAACTTGTGCAGTTGGGCGAGTGTAACTGTTGAATGGGATTTTATAAAGTTGTGCATCTAAACAAATATCATTGCAGAGTGTGCATAGATCTAGCAGAGCTGGCAGCTTACTTACTATATAAGGTGCACAAGAGTAGAGCCCCGTTTTAGTAGAGCAATAGTAGGTTACTGTGGCAACAAAGCACTCACATGAAGTGTTACATAATACCACCACCATATTCCTGCATTCTCCCAGCAGGGCCATTACACTCAGTCATGCGTACCTGGCCTCAACTTTAATTCAAGGCTATTAGGTGAGAAAAGAGACCCTGGTATCTAAGTACAGCATTATATTGTTGTGTAATGAGGGTACACAATGACCTCAGGAGCACATAAGGCACCCCCAGCTGCACAGAACAGTGAGTCAGAAAAAAGGATATTCAAGACTGTGATATTGCTAGCAAATTGATACTGGGTGTGGCTAACTGATGCACATCATTACACATAGCTTCTAAGGGACTATAAAAGCAGGAGTAGTGGAACAGTCAGTGCAACGGAGAAAAAAGTGACTAGCCTTATCACAGTATCACAGCAAAAATGTGCTCCTTGTGGTTGCTGATAGTTCTGTTCACCTTTGGTCTCGTCAAGGCACAAGGTAAGTAATTTACATTCAGTCACACTGAAGCAATGAAAAATTATCTGACGGCTTAGCAGGCACTTCTTGAAAGGAAGTGACTAAGCGGCAAGCAGAGAGCAGTGACAGCAATGAAGGATATAATGCTGTACTTAGATACCAGGGTCTCTTTTCTCACATAATAGTCAGTGCAACGGAGAAAAAGTGACAAACATTATCACAGCATCACAGTCAAAATGCGTCGCTTGTGGTTGCTGATATATAGCTCTGTATGCTATTGCTCTCGTCAAGGGACAAGGTAAGTGATTTACATTCAGTCACCCTGAAGCAAGGCTTAGCAGGTACATCTGGAAAGGAAGTGACCAAGCGGCAAACAGAGAGCAGTGACAGCAATGAAGGATGTCCTCCATTCATTGAGCTACTGAGAGGGAGAGACGGACGAGATGGTCGTCATGTAGTTGAATGGATAGATGGGTGTTCAGTAGAATGGATAAGAGTGCACTAGGGTGTACATCAATGGGATTTCCTAAAGTTGTGCTAAACAAGTATTATTTGGCAGAGCAGGCAGCTTACTTACTATAGTGCACAAGAGTAAAGCCCCATTTTTAGTGGAACCATACATAGTAGGTTACCTAGGCAACAAAACATTCACATAAGTGATACATCAGGCCAACACCACCTACCTGCATTCTCCCAGCAGGGCTATTACACTCAGTCATACTTGCCTAAACCTTACTTCCTGGCTAATGGGAGTGGAAGAGTGTAGTCATGGCAACATTCCGGAATTTTGTGTACTTAATGACCTCACTAACGCCCTGCAGGAGTGCATAAGCTGGAGGGATCATCCAACTGCATTGAACCCAGGATGTTCCTGAACGTAATAATGTTGGGTGTGGCTATGTAACTGATGCCACATTACTGTATGCATTACTTGCAAGAGACTATAAAAGCAAGAGCAGTTAAACAGCCAGTGCAAATAGGAGACAAAAGCATTTTTATCTCGAAAAACAAAAATGCGTCCCTTGTGGTTGCTGATAGCTCTGTTCACCTATGCACTTGTCAAGGCACAAGGTAAGTAACTAGTAGATAACTCATCCTGAAGCAATGACAAATCCTGTAGCTGTTCCATCCGGAAAGGAAGTGACTAAGTGTCATGCAGAGAGCGGTGACAGCAATGAAGGATTTCCTCCATTCATTGAGCTACTGAGAGGGAGAGACGGACGAGATGGTCGAGACGGAGAATCTGGACCTAAGGGATGTCCTGGTGTCACAGGAGAGAAAGGAGATACTGGACCTCAGGGACCTCCGGGATCCAGCAGTGGAGGAGTCACATACATCAGGTGGGGTCGAACCACCTACCCCAACACAACTGGAACCGAACTAGTCTACTCTGGAAGAGCTGCTGGGACTTTCTAAAATGTTCAGGGAGGAACTAGTGACTACCTCTGTCTCCCAGATTCACCGTCATACTCCACCTACCAGCCTGGTGTACAGGGACATTCCCCAATACATGGTGCTGAGTATGACCCTGAGCATGCATCTTTACCTATTCCAGGGATGCAAGACCACAATGTTCCATGTGCTGTTTGCCTCAATTCCCAAAGAAAAGCGGTTTTAACAATTCCAGCTCGTATCACCTGTCCTTCTTCATGGACCCTGGAATACTGTGGGTACCTCATGACAGGCCATTATAACCATCATAGAAGAGCTTCAGCTTGTGTTGACAAGAATCCTGAGAGAGTACCTGGTGAGGCTGCCAACACCAATGGAGCTCTATTCTACTACATCGAGGCAGTGTGCAATGGAATATTGTGTCCTCCGTATGATCCTGAAAAGGAACTTACTTGTGCAGTATGCACAAAATGAGACTCTTGCGTGAGAGCAATGTACGTATGTGTGGAAGACTATGCCACTACTGTATATATAAATGTGGACCCGTTTGTAGTATTATAGTTTGCCCACTTCGTACTTTAACAAATAATTTGTTAAAGCAAAGTGGACTACAAGTTGTAAATTATTACAACCATTACCTTTAATCTCAACATAAAAAGACAGACTGATCCTGAAAAGGAGCTCACATGTGCAGCATGCACAAAATGAGAAACTTGTGTGAGAGCAATGTATGTGTGGAAGACTATGGCAATTAACAACTTTTTGCACTGTAAAAGTTTTGTAAGTGAATGCTTACGACCATTGCCTTTAATGAAAAATTACTTTAAGACAGACAAATAGACAGACTCCAATTACTGTCTAGAACTCTAACTTAATTTGAAAACTTACCTATACCAATGTATTTATTGTCATGTGCTTGAACGGACGGATGGGTGTTCAGTAGAATGTATAGGAATGCAGTAGGGTGACTACATGAGTGGGATTTCCAAAAGATGTGCTGATTATATGTTATAATTGCAGAGTGTGCATGTGTTTGGCAGAACTGGCAGCACGCTTACTATGGTGAACAAGAGTAAAGCCCTATTCTCATAGTAGGTTACTGTGGCAACAAAGCACATCAAGTGCTACATAATACTACCACCACATTCCTGCATTCTCCCAGCAGGACCATTCATACCTGGCCTCAACTTTAATTCCAGGCCATTAGGTGAGAAAACACAGCCTGGTATGTATAATTATACCTAAGTAAAAAATGACAACTTCATAACCTTGTGTAATGTGTCTACAAAATGACGCATAATGCATCCAGCTGCACAGAACAGTGAGTCAATATTTCTGACGGTGATATTGTTAGCAAATTGATACTGGGTGTGGTTAACTGATGCACAATATTACCAATTGCTTCTAAGAGACTATAAAAGCAAGAGCAGTGGGACAGTCAGTGCAACGGAGAAAAGTGACTGGCATTTTCATCTCAGCAAAAATGCGTCCCTTGTTGTTGCTGATAACTCTGTTCACTTTTGTTCTCGTCAAGGCACAAGGTAAGCAATTTCAACCACTCATCCCGAAGCAATGACAAATTCTCTGACGACTTAGCAGGTACTTCTGGAAAGGAAGTGACTAAGCGTCATGCAGGGAGCGGTGACAGCAATGAAGGATTACCTCCATTCATTGAACTACTGAGAGGGAGAGATGGACGAGACGGTCGAGACGGAGAGTCTGGACCTAAGGGATCTCCTGGTGCCACAGGAGAGAAAGGAGATACTGGAGCTCAGGGACCTCTGGGACCCAGCAGTGGAGGAGTCACATACATCAGGTGGGGTCGAACCACCTGCCCCAACACACCTGGAACCGAACTAGTCTACAAAGGTTGGGCTGCTGGGAGTTACTTCTCTCATACTGGTGGAGGCAGCAACTACCAATGTGTCACTGAAGAACCACAGAACCTTGCTTTCGGTCCTGGCACTGCGGAACATTCTTATATGTATGGTGTTGAATATAAGATTTGGGGAAACACACCACGTGAACGTCATCACTTACAGGATGATGATGTTCCGTGTGCTGTTTGCTATGTGTCTATCCGAGTGGCTCACCTAATGATCCCAGGAAGATACACTTGTCCTCCGAACTGGACTCGCGAGTACTATGGCTACCTCATGGCTGAACGCTACAACCACCACAGATCAACATTTGAGTGTGTGGATGCATCACCTGAGGCTGTAGTTGGTGGACATGCTTGGTGTTGGTGGAGCTGTGTTTTACCATGTGGAGCCTCGATGTGGCAGTCTACCTGCCCTCCTTATGAACAAGAGAAAGAGATGACATGTGCAGTATGCACCCGCTAATAACCATTTTGGCTAAAGAAAATTCTCATAACTCTTGGTACATAGATACTTAGTGTGTGCTATGATAGTGAATGACATTGAAACATGAAATTTAGTTGTACATTAATTTTAATGCCTTGTGCTACTTTTGTGATTGCTTGAAAATACTGTATTGCAAGTTGTAAAATTTACGGTGATTATAAAAATCAGTGAATGCAACTTAACGCAATAGTGACACACATGGTGCTGCAATATATAAAACGCCAGTGCAAGTGTTTCCAACTCCCTCACACTTGCTGTATGCAAGTTGCATAGTGCACCTTTGCTGCATGGAACCTAAACCAAGTCGCATGGTTAATATCGCTGCATTAAAACTGATACAAGCTTCAAGGCGTACAGTTAATATCTGCAACAATGCTACCATTACCCAATGTCTTGTGTGGCTGGTATATATGTGAGAGTCCTGTAGCGGGGTGCATACCTATCAGCAATAGAGCACAGTACATAGTGAAATGATTGGCGGCAGTTTGATCCTTGCGCACCATCTCCATACTCATAATTCATTTTGATCTCCAGAGTTAGGGCCTGGTGTTATTTTGTCACGCATAGAAATACACGTGTTTGATCTTGGAGAATGTGGCATAAGTGTAGCTGATCAAGACAGCAAGAATTAGCATGACATCACACATTGGCTTAGATATGCTCATAGCACAGCACACACACAACAGCAAGTCATCGAGATATCTGCCATAGATTCATTTTACTGCAAGGCTCTAAGGAACCGGCCCATCTTAGGCCTATTCCTCTCAAAACACAAACACTAAGTAGAATTTGGGGAATACTTCTAAAAGACAAGTTGTGCTCCAGACCATTGCAATGTTATTGCATAGATTTAGCAGTGCTGGCAGCTATACTATGGAGCACAAGAGTAAAGTTTGTGGAACCATAGTAGCTACAAACCACATAAGACCACAACCAAAACCACCTGCATTCTTGCAGCAGGGCAATTACACTCAGTCATACTTGCCTCAACATTCAATTGAATGGGGAAGAGAGCCTGGTATCCATGTAACAAATGACAACACTCCATACTTGTTTGTGCTCAATGACCTCACTAATGCACTGCAGGAGCGCACAAGGGGGAAGGAGCGTCCAACTGCATCCAACCCTTGAATAATGGACGTTTGTGAGTGTAATAATGATGCTAGGAAATTTATACTGGGTGTGGCTAAATTTTGCACATTACTCTTCTAAGAGACTATAAAAGCAAGAGCAGTGGAACAGTCAGTGCAACGGAGAAAAAGGTCACTAACATTATCACAGCATCACAGCAAAAATGTGTCCCTTGTGGCTGCTGATAGCACTCTGTTCACTTTGCTCACGTCAGGACAAGGTAAGTCGATTTCAAATCACTCACCCAAAGCAATGACAAATTCATTCTGTGACGCCTTAGCAGGTAGTTCCTTCTGGAAAGAAGAGTCACTAAGCGGCATGCATGAGAGCTGTGACAGCAATGAAGGATTTCCTCCTGTCATTGAGCTACTGAGAGGGAGAGATGGACGAGATGGTCGAGACGGAGAGTCTGGACCTAAGGGATCTCCTGGTGCCACAGGAGAGAAAGGAGAAACTGGACCTCAGGGACCTCCGGGACCCAGCAGTGGAGAGTCACATACATCAGGTGGGGTCGAACTACCTGCCCAAACACACCTGGAACTGAACTAGTCTACTCTGGAAGAGCTGCGGGGACTTTCTATAATGTTCAGGGAGGAACTAGTGACAATCTCTGTCTCCCAGATACACTGGAATACTCCACCTACCGGCCTGGTCTACAGGGACTTTCCCCAATATATGGTGCTGAGTATGAAACTAACCATGCAACTTCACCTATTCCAGGGGTGTACGAGCACAATGTTCCATGTGCTGTTTGCCTCAATAGCCAAAGAAAAGCAGTTTTAACAATTCCGGCTTGTATCACCTGCCCTTCTTCGTGGACTCTGGAATAATGTGGGTACCTCATGACAGACCGTTCTTCCCATCACAGAAGAGCTTCAGCTTGTGTTGACAAGAATCCTGAGAGAGTACCTGGTGAGGCTGCCAACACTGATGGAGCTCTATTCTACCACATTGAGGCAGTGTGCAATGGTATACTGTGTCCTCCGTATGACCCTGAAAAGGAACTTACTTGTGCAGTATGCACAAAATGATACTCTTGAGTGGGAGCAATGTATATATGTGTGGAAGACTATGGCACTACTGTATAAATGTGGACCCGTGTGTAGTATTATAGTTTCAAATTAACAACTTGTAGTCCTATTTGTACTGTAACAATTTTTGTAAGTTAATGCGTACGACCATTGCCTATAATTCTTTAAGACACACAAATAGGCAGACTCCAATTACTCTCTAGTACGCTAACTTAATTTGAAAACTTACCGATATTAATTATCATGTGGTTGAATGGATGGATGGGTGTTCAGTAGAATGTATAGGAGTGCAGTAGGGTGTCTACATGAGTGGGATATCCAAAAGACGTGCTGATTGTATAATATGGATAGGTATGAGCGCTCAGCCCGAATAGAGCATACTTGCCATCGTCAAACCTACTTGGTATATGTTTGAAGCAGGAAGTGTTTTCACAGCATTGTGTATATAGGCAATGCAACAACACAGGGAAACGGTACCCAAAAGGCAAAAGGCTCAGTGTGCAACTGGTTTTTTTTGGTGACTTTTGATCACCTGTTAGGTTTCTTATCCGATCTACCAGTAGCTGCATGAAATTACTAAGGTGAAATCGTTACATACTAGTCAAATGCTTGGTTGGAGTTATTGTTAAGGGAATATGCATCCTCCATTCAACATGCAGTACACCTGGAATTACTATTTCTGATGAGTAACTAGTCGTATTCCCAGGCTTTCCTTACTCCTCTTCTTCCACACAATAGTACAACAGGTGTGTAGGTAGTTGTATGGTGAGTAATCCCATGGACCAGTCACACCACAGTTTGATTACCTTAAAAATAGCAACTCTAAATCATCACTAAAATTACGTTATGCATTCTTGAGTGTCACAAATTACATTCCAGAGTGGGCAATACACTATGCAACAGCCAAAGAGCAGTCACTGTTGGAGGCAGCAAGTGTATACCGATGTGGCACTGAAAAACGACAAATGATGTGTGGGGAAGCACCAAGAACAGCTTTTCTGCTGGATAATGATGATGCTCCGTGTGCTGTTTGCTATGTGTCTACCCGAGTGGCTCACCTCATGATCCCAGGAAGATACACTTGTCCTCCGAACTGGACTCACGAGTACAATGGCTGGATCTTGTGGACATAAGGCTATAGTTGTTGTTAGCTTGTGCACATTTTACACAAGAATTATGGTGTGTACATATCGGCTCCAGGATCTGATGGCTGTAGTTGTAGCAAGAGTAAAAAGCAGGAAGTAGAGTGTAAATACCACAACATGTCAAAGTAGTAAAGTACTTACTCACTGATAGACGTCCAAAAAAACTTGGCAAATCAAATTCCAATATCATAAATGTGTCCAATCCATGAGCATGGTATAAAAGCAACAGCCCAAGAGCTTCCAATAGAAAGAGAGAAAAAGGTGTGAGATGACAGCTAAACCAACCTCTGCAAGGATGTCATCCCTCTGTATTTTGACATTGGCGTATTTCATTGCCATTAATGAGGCTCATGGTAAGGATACACAACTTACACTTCGACAGTGTTGCAACTTAATGAATGCTTAGCAGGTCCTTCTGGAAAGGAAGTGACCAAGCGGCAAGCAGAGAGTGGTGACAGCAATGAAGGATTACCTCCATTCATTGAGCTACTGAGAGGGAGAGACGGACGAGATGGTCGAGACGGAGAGCCTGGACCCATAGGGATGAAAGGAGACCAGGGAGACAAAGGAGACCCCGGTCTTCAAGGTTTACCTGGACCAGCAAGCGGAGGTGCAGTATATGTCAGGTGGGGTCGGACAACCTGCCCCAACACACTTGGAACTGAACTAGTCTATTCTGGAAGAGCTGCTGGGACCTATTTCACCCACAAAGGAGGAACTAGTGACTATCTCTGTCTCCCAGATACACCTGAATACTCCACTTACTGGCCTGGTGTCCAGGGAAATTCCCCAATTTACGGGGCCGAGTATGAAATCGAACATGACACTCTACCACTACCTGGGGTTCGTGATGACAATGTTCCATGTGCCTTGTGTAGAAATAGTCAGAGGTCTTCAGTTTTTGTCCTTCCTGCCCGCATGTCTTGTCCTAGTTCATGGACAAGGGAGTACTTTGGGTACCTTATGACAGACAACAAATCATACGGCAAAACAGTTACAACCTGCGTCGATAAAAACCCTGAGACTGTTCCAGGTGGAGCATCTGACATTGAAGGAGCTCTATTCTACAACATTGAGGCAGTGTGCCACGGAATACTATGCCCTCCGTATGATCCTGAAAAGGAGCTCACATGTGCAGTGTGCACAAAATAAAAAAACAGACTGCGTAAACTAAAGTAACTTTCCGGTTTGAACTAGCAAACAAAAAGATTGAGCGTGGAATATACTTTCATGTAAATACCTATGTATGAAATGACTTTCAAGCAATTGCGCCAACCGAATCTAGAGAGTTGACCTAGACCTAAAAAAGAACATACACTATGTCTAGTTTCTGCATGTCACCCAGCTCTTCGCCATCCAGCCACACTGTCTATATGGGCTCTAATCCGACTAGGCTTGTTGTGGTCACTTTGTTGTATGTGGTGGCAGGCAATGTGGTAAAATGAGAAAGACGACAGCAAGGTCACACATAAAAGAGTGCGCAGGTTTGAAAAGTGTACGTTAGAATTGAATCTCGTGTAGAAAAACAATGTCATTGCACCATTAGGGGGGTTTACACACAAACCTCAGGGAGGAAGGAAAGAGAAGAGATTTGAGTGATGTGGGTTGGTGTCAACTGAGAGAGGATGTCCCTGTCCCTGGGAGAGTTATTACAGGCCCAGCAGGGACCATCCCTAGGAAGGAGAGGAGGAGGGTAGCAGTCCACCACTGCAGTGTGACCGTAGGAGCTGGCAGCCACATAGGACACTCCAAGAGCGACACATAGAGATGTGACTGCATAGTCAAAGTATTCTCCCACGTCAATACCATTGAACACAACCTGGTGAGAACAAATACAAAGATTATCTCCAACTGAGTTGTAGTGTCATGGGAGGTGCCAAAAGAAGGTGATAGACCGAGTATAAATACGGAAGCGTAAGTTAATTTGTGAGTAATTGCAATAGGCAGCTTCATACTGTAGTAGTGCTTATAAAGGTCATTTGGATAATGGTGTTATTATGCTTCTGTGCATGTGTTTACATTTGATCTTTTAGTCAGTTCAACAATCTTGCCCCATTCTTTTACTGCATCACACTCAACACCTGTCAACTCTGGGATATAAAAATACCACCTGACACACAAGCCACGACTGACTGGTTACTACAGCAACGACTGACTGGTTCTAATGCAGTGCGGCTTGAGTCCATCAAGAGCTGCTGAAACCTTGCTCCTGCCAACATCACTCGTGGAATACAGTACTTGACGATTGACGTTTGAGGCTGACACTGTATCGCAGTCTACAATTATCACCTCCTGCACACCAAGACGACTGCATACAAAAGAAACGTACAGTAAAAAAGCACTTGCTACGCTGCTCCAAACGCGCGCATGCGCTCAAAAATGCTGACGTCAGCGATCTCGTGGAGCCAGCGAATAAAAAATTACCATAGGTTTCTGGCCACGGAACAGCCTATGCCACCGACTCCAAGGACTAGGGTGGTCTGGACCTCGATCAGAGGCTGATGCCAGTCTGGGATTGAGCGCTGTCTCGAGAAATAGTCCATCTGTGCCGCATTTACCACGCGATTCTGCGCACGCATGCGCAATCAGCCACGCCTTCTCCGAGTTCTTGTGGTCGGTGAAACTGTAAACAGCGAATTTGCCGGAGCAATGGCCGCATGTATCAGGCGGAACAGATCCCTGCTGAAGTGGTTGGCGCTCCTGCTGACCATGAGCTCAGTTTTGGTGTGGTTCGGAGTCACCGTGGGAATTAGTTCCTGGGATAAGTCGGCCAGCGCGTCGAAGGGCATCGAACGGACTCGCTACAGTGAGACCCAACGGGAAGTTACCTCTGTGTTCTCACAGCTAGCACACAACGTCAACGAAAGAGATCCTGAGACCGCCTCTCGTGTCCTGAAGTCAATGGAGACTCCTAACAACACTGCCCCAGCTAGAACTACACCTGTTTCTCCTTCAATGAAAGTGCACCAGGATAATCACCTCGTCACCCAACAAGAAAACAAACCAATAACCAACCCAGAGTCAAATATTGTCAACAAGAACATTACATCTAATGCCACGAAGCACAGTTTTCACCCACCAAGACGGAAAATAAACTCTGTACAAGACTCAAGGGGAAGTAAACACGACTTGTCTAGCACAAGCGCAAGTGCTACCAGAACTCGTGGATATGTAACTGCTCTAGAGTTTTGGGACCAGCAGACCTTCTCCATCCAGAACATTCTCTCCCTGCAAGTCTGGGCCGGATGGCTGGGTGTGGGGGTCCTCGAGCCGTTTCTCATGGGAACTAAGTTTGGACTCCCTCTCGGTGACCACGAGTCTTTTCACAGGAACGGAAGTGTGTCTTACCTGGCCATGGGTGATGTGTACGACATGGAGCAGTGGAACTTGGAGACTAGCAAATATCACTATGAAATGAGTCCGTTTACTCCTTGGAAGGATTTTCTTGCAGATGCACCTAGAGATGTACTCTTTTTCAACCTCGGTCGGTTCACGGGGCGAAATAACATCGAAAAAGAAGTGACAAATTACAACAGGACATTGGCAAAGCTTGGTTTTAGGCTGGTTGAAGCCCGTTACCTACAGCTGGACTGGCATAAACCGGTCACTGAAACCGACTTGAAGGCTGAGCTTTACAAAGGTGGTAAATCTCCCGGCGAGTTTACTGTTATATTTGGTTGCTGGAATAGGCAGGAGCTGCCCCACATTTTCCGTGCACTCCAGTTTAACATGCTCTTTGGCAGCAGTGTTGTGTCTCTTGAACCTAGCAGAAGGGTGAAAGAGGACGCAACACAGTATAGGCTCAGACACCTGAGCTCGAATGGGAGCTACATTGGTGTTTTGGTGAGGGCAGAATGGCTCATCATGAACAGGGGACCGGACAATAGGAAATATGTCCTAAACGGTTGTCTCAATAGGGCTCTTGGCTGGCTCAACTCTCTCCGGAACCAAACAGTCTCGCAGACATGTTTGTTGGAATGGATATTGGCAGGTTCGGTAGCACCACTCTCAGGGACCTCCGTATGGAGTACATCCAGAGACTGGGAGAGGATTTCCTCAGAGCTGCCTACAGAGACCCTCTGGGTGACTCTGAGAAATTGGGAGGAGACCTTCACGGCAGTCAGCAGCAGTAGCGTCCCTGGTTACGTGGCCTTTTTACAAAAGTCGGTCGCTGCTAACGGAAGGTGTCTTATATTGATAGGGTTCGGGTCGTTTCAGAGACATGCTCTCCAAATGTACATGAAACTCCACAGAAAACAGGACTATTGTTACTTGAAGACCGATAGTCAATGTCGTGTCAAGTTGGTTGTTGGTTTTGATCAATAGTCTCAATATTTGACCACTTATTTCGTGACTGGCTAATGGAAAAGGGAACCAACATTAGCACTTTCAATCTATTTCAAAAAGATATTGGCAGAAGATTATATAAAAGGTTATGACCATGCAAGATTATTTTTCTAATTCATGTCTCTCATTGCCATAATTGATCAGCATTGTAACAGGTTCTGCCAGTGAAAACGTACATATCCACTGATGTATTTTCAACAACAGCACAGTAAAAACTATTTTAACGCTTAGCACCCATTATGCTCCATAAACGGCATACAGAATCACAGGTCCAAGGGACCTCAACCAAATCAACACATAACCAGCATTGCAGTCAGAATAAATTAATAATTTTAACAATCTCCATCAACACCTGCCATTACAAGTAAATTTCCTCCAACTGTCCATACATCATTTTGAAGAAGCTTACAAGGACCGAGGGAAAGGTTTTAAAATTAGTGTCTGAGGTGTCAAACGTATGGGAGTATAATTATAGCCCTGCACACAGACCCCGCCCCCTCTCTCTCTCTCTTGAGGAAAAGGGTCTGGTGACATATTGAGCGTTTTCCTGGTTATGCTGAATCATCAGTCTTATTTTTCGGTAAGCCAATCAGATCGCTCAATGTCACATAAGCATGTGACGACAAACAAAACAAAGCTGCTCAATGCATGCTGCCGTATCGCAAGAGAATAAAAACCCTTGCATGTGGTTATGTAATAATCACAAGGCTGCTGATTCAGCACAACTAAGAAAACACTCGAATGTCATCAGACCCTAGCTTTACTCTTCAGAGGGCTGGGGTATAACTAAGATATTATGATAGTGTCAAAGTTATATCATTGTGTTGACTCTACCACATTTATATACCTACAGACCTCTTGCACATTAATTCGAATTTTTGGTCACTACATAACATAAGCTGTGCAGGGGCAATTCCCACCCAGTTCGCACAGCACAGAGTTTGTGTGAGGAAAAAATTGAAAACACTTTTGATCCTGTCAAGCATGTGACTAAAAATGAACAGATCACAGAAAGAATCTATAGACGAAATGTGATTTCTGTAATGGTGAAAGGGGAATTGATAATATTACGATAGTACATAGCATTGGAGTATGACTCTGTGTATATACGAATAAAAATTTATATGCACATGTGGTGTTCAGTTTTGCTGACGCGAACGCTTTGCTCTGTACGGATCTTCGTAGAGGTGAAAGGTCAGTTCACGCTTACGGCGTGTGTAGCCCCTGGATCTCCGCCCCCTCCCTCTCCCCCTACCCCTGCTATTAGATGTAATCTGCTCCGAAGGCAAGTGTCCTGTGAAAGACTCAATTGAAGAAGCTGACGAGGACTGAGAGAGAGGAAGAGAAAGGTGGTTTTCAAACTTGGTCGGATCTTTCTGTTTTGGGGAGTTTTGTGCGTTCGTAGAAGATATGTCTGTTTGAGAATCAGAATGTGGTGGTCTGGAGGCCGCCTCTTCAGTAGAGGAGGTAGAATCGCTATTGTGTAAACTAGACTCTGCATTTGTGTGGTTAGACACCTCAGCGCCTTTTTTAGTGGAGGAAGTAGTAGCGCTTGATGTGCGCTCTACTCTGTTGTTGTTTTTCGATTCGATTTGGGCTGCATTGCCTGCGTGAGGTCCTTGTCTAGTGTCCGGCTGAGGAGGACGATTGCAGAGGGTTGGTGGTGGGGCTGTGAGGCTCACCGAAGAGGACCGTCGCCGCTCCTTCCTCACCACTGTCGTCATGTGGAACCTCAGCTTCTTCTGCTTTGGCATCCCTCTCCCTCCACCCTCACCCTTCTCTCCTCCAGCAGCTACGAGGGACTTTGACCCGAGCTTGTGCATCATTGTTGCCTGCGACTTTTCAACGCTCGTAGACGTGGTAGTGCGGGAGAGAAAGTGGGAGGGCTCAGAGAGCTTGTTCGTGGAAGTAAAGGAAGGGTTGCTGCTGGTACGGAACAGACGAAGGTTGTTGGATGACGACAGTATTGAGGAACTGGAATTGGGGTTTGGAGGAGGAGACGGGGAGGATGAAGAGAGGTGAGGGGAAGAGGTCTTCTTGTGCACGTGGTTCCCGTTAGCCTGGTGGAGTGCAGCTCCCTGTATGTAGAGCTGGGGAGAGTTCTGTCCAATGACTTGTAGTTCGCCGGTGGGTGCAGTCATGAGGGCCACATTGGGTGGGAAAAACACCACGTAATGCTGCTGCTGAGGATGGTGGGGAGACTGGGTCTGGACGCGAGAGAACGGGTTTGGGCTCACGGGGATGAGACGCGGAGAGGCCACTGCTGCTCCGCTAACAGACTGGGACGAGTTTTGCCGGCTGAGTGAAGCAACAGCGGAGGAAGACGGCACAGCACTCTGAATTACTGAGTGGTGGTAAGTCAAGTGAGATGATGGAGCAGCAGTGGACAGGTGGACAGACCCTGAATGAGGAGCGGGAGATTTAGGTTCCTCCTTGCATCTGGACGCCTGATGAGCCACCTCTTCAGGAATTGGAGGAGCTTGCAGTTTGTGGTGGTTACCATCACTGGTAGCGGTAGTGGTGGTGGTGACAGTCTTGTCCCTCTCCCCCTTCCTCCTCTTGTCTCCCCCTATCCTCATGGACGACGGGCTCATCATGGTGAACTTTGTATACTTGACCGGTGGATGGCTGGTCCAGTTAGCCGACGCCGGGCTGGCTGGAGTGCTGCTGCTACCATGACTCACCCCACTCCCTAGACCACTCATAGCCTGAGTGGTGGGGGGAAAGGCAAGGAAGGTATTGTTTGCTAAGTGTGATGCACTCGTGGGCGAGCCACTTGAGGTGCTGTTGGAGCGTGATGTGTTACCCATGAGAATGTTCTCCACTGTGAAGCTGGATATGGTCTTGTTGGTGCTGTTGGCGGAGCAGCCGCTATGAGCCCCCGATGAGTCGTTCGACGGGTGGGAGGGACTGTTGACTGGTTTATTGTTAGAACCAGAAGAGGAGCTGGAGTGGACCCTGTGATTAGTGCCGGGAGACGAACCGGGGTGCCTCTGATCTAACCTCTCGCTTTTTTCTAAGTCAGGAACAGGTGTGTGAGAGGTTGAGTTGACTGGTCTCTCTGGGCTCTTGCTATCTTCAAATGCATCTTCCTCAGTACTGGTGTCGTACTCCAGGCCTGACATTGCGTCATCCGTTTCCTCATTGTCGTCTTCGTCTTCCTGTTCGTTCTCCCTCTCTCCCACTTCCTCTTTAACTACTTTTGATTGCTCTGCACCACCTTCACCACCATCATCTTCCATCTTCCTAACCGTATCTTGTTCGCTCTCCTCCTCTTGTCCTCCCTCTTCAATCTCCAGGTTCCCAGCAATGTAGGTGGCGACGTCATAGCTAAAGAAGGAGTAGACTGACTCCACCACCCTCCGCAGAGCCTCTGTCCAATTCCCTGCAATATCAAAGATGAAAAGATGATCATCGTGATAGTTTCTTTTATAATGTACAATTGTACACACTTACGCGTGAAAATGTGCTTACTAAATCTCGTTGTAACTTGCATCGTGTTTACTAAGTGCCTGCGGCGCCGTTCCCTGTGCAAGCCGTTCACACATTAAGAACAAGTGTGCATCAATTGGAGTATGTACGTACTAACTAAGTTGGGCATAAACATCTATGTGAGTTAGAAACTTTCACATATCATCCTGCAGTGCAGTACTGCGTATACATACAAACTTGGCAGTAGGTTCATCACAGCTTTTTGACTGTGCTTTTGCAATACAGTCATAACCTAGAGAAGTTCCATCCATAAAACAACATCTACTTCCTCAAACACTCCTCTATGTGACACAGGCCGCTCACAAGAGCGCACACAAATTATCTCGCGCCAACAACCAAACATTCCCAGGTTATTAAGCGTGTCGCGGGGTGGCTACGCCATTGAGGGTCCACCACCACACAGAGCCACAAACCCTATCCAGTTACCATCGAAGGGGCCACGATCAGAGGAATTACTGCAGCCACAGTCCCCCACAGACAAAAACAGCTCCGTCTGTGGTACGGAGGTTCAAACACCGGGCAATCAAAGACTATCAGGGATTTGGGCCAAACTTTGACTCTCTGTGCTACTAAATACGTCGCTAATCATACGACGTTAAGTGGCGTTTCCCACGTGTGCCGAGTAACCAAACAACCCCCGCTATAGCTTAATCAAGATCATTAGGTCACGGTATAAGCCCGACTTGGTCATCGGTCTGCAACAACTGTGCCACAGGTGTATAAGATACACGTTTGTTAAGGCAACATAGATGTACCATTATGACTTATACAGCCGATAATTATGGGTAAGTATGTTAGAACATAAAAGGTTGTTGTAAGTATGTACATACACAAACAGTGGTAAGTGTGCACACAAGTACATACGGCCTGTGGTTTATCTTACAGAGGGTTGGTGCTATTGCCAATGCTATGCCCTTCTGTGGACCAAGTGACTCCATGTTCTGCAGTGCTCCCCAGACCAGTAGTCTATGTGTAAAGCCACGCTCATCATAAATCATTCAACAGACAGCTGGCCCACAGAGGGATGGAGTGACTAGTGCAGTGGACTACTGCGGGACATCTTCCCTTGACTAAAGTTAAAGTTCATATGTGTGCATATGAATGTATTGTGTTAATGTACATAACACTACACAATCCAAAGTAACGAATCTGTCAGCACCATGCAACAGTGTATAGCTATATAGTGTAAGGGAAAGGAAAAGCCACATACCAATTGCTCTTGACACATAGGCCATGATACTAGATGTACCCTTTTGTGTGGGTGTTAACATGTTTTCCTGGAATTTGCAGAGATCAAGGAACCCCCTGAATGACTAGAGCAATTGTAGTATACAATTTTCTTAGAAATCCTGCTACTTGCAATTACCCCCCATAAGAGCACATCTGTACATTAACTACATGTGTATTATATATACACTACTTTGCTTCCTTGTGGAAGAGTCATGGCCTGGAACTGCGACAAGATAGTTCACCAAGAGTTCTTTGTTCAGCAGTACGGCAGAAAAGTTCTACTTCCCCATGAACCTAAGTACATTTTGACGAATATTGGTCGATTAAAGGTGCAACTAAGAGATTTTTCAGGTTGGCAGAAGAGAAAAAAAGCAACTTCTGCCGTCCATGTATGCATTGTTAGTACAAGATATCTATGCATGCACACACAAGACACGAACCAGTATAAAGAGCATGTTTTCATGAGAATTACGGTATGACTAAACCTACACCCACAAACGGACCGAATAAGGCAGCCTATTTGCACGACAACTGCCCGACAAGGCACGCTGCTTTCACATGCCAGGTAGTGAACAAACAGATGCCTCGCCCGCAAGGGCATTGGGACTCTTTTCATGGCTGCGAAAAATTAACTGTTTGTAAATTCACGGAAACCAGTCAATTTCTCTTCTGTTATCTGCTTCATAAACATGTATATACCACATCTCTTTGCTACATACTATGTAGAGACTAGCCACAAGTGTCCCTATTCATATGAAAGCTAGGATATTGTGTACATGTGGGCCTGTAGAGGCGAGGGCAAAGTCATATTTTAAGTCGTTCATATGTATATTGTCTGGCCATAAAACAATCCAAAGTTGCCCGAAATGATGCTACATTCACATATAATATACAGACTACTATTTGCCTGGTTTACACATAGGTATATACACTGTCACATATCTGCCTTAGACACAAACTACACCTAGTAACACAAACTAGGTGTCTTTGTAGGAGTATGGTATCTAGCAATTCAGCTTTGAGCTGCATACATCACACTGTGTAAGTGGCTCGGTAAGTTAGTAGAGTATGCATTTAGCCTCTGGCTTGGCCAGCAGAGCTGCCTCACTAACTTCCAACCTGGCTACGTACTTAAGCCCGATACCTAAAACAAGATACTCTGTGTCTCATTCTCTAATCAGGGAATTAGCAGTTTGGCTCAGTAAAGGGAGTATGCGGTCATATATACCCATAGCACAAACAGACCATTGCATGGAATTAAGACCGAAAAGGCTATGTATTGGTATAATTATACAGAAACAGTCATTAGTGGTGCCACAAAGTGGACCCACTCTTATCCAAACAATGGTGGATGGACAAAGGCACGCAGAGGGGACAAAGGAGTGGTGAGCGAGGCATGCAGAGCTAATACCATCAAAAAGAGGCAGTGGCCGTGTGTGGGGGTTGCAGAATAAACGTGCCTCCAAACATGGGCCCCGGGCATGTGACACCTGATAGTGGACTCTTGCCCTAAAAGGAGAGGGTTGTACAAACAATGTGCTGCAAAAGGAGTTGAGGGATGTCCCTTATAGGGAGAGAAGGCACTACTGTTACAGAGTAACTAGAGTGTATGTGTGTGTGTATACTGTAGGTATGCAGGTATGTGTGTGTACATATATACGTGTGTGTGTGTGTGTGTGTGTGTGTGTGGGTGGCGAGGTCTTTGCCAGGCTACAGACCGAAGGAGAGAGTTGGCTGAGTTGTACATTAACCTGTAGCTCATTAATCACAGGTCTCTATGCCCCTATTTCCCATTGAAAAGTTTAAAATGTACCATGTCGAAGAGTAGGTATAATTATACATTGCAGATTTCTTCAAAATCCTGCATTTGCTTGCATATGTACTTTTCCTCCTCTGACAATAGCCCAATAGTCATCACAATAATCTGAACCAACTCGAGCTCGACAAAATACAGACACGTCCAAAAATCCAGCAATTTTCATACCTCCCCACAAACATTCACACACAACACACACACGTCTTTGCACATCAAAACATAATAAGCCACAAATATGGACAGAGATACCCACCAACTACTGCGTTGTTTGCAAGTCCATCTAGTCACAATAACCTTAACGGTGGGACTGTATAGGTGCACATTCCATTGAGAAAGGTTGATATGTATGTACTTGTGGACAGGTAAGGAGATCAGTAACAGCCCGCCTCCCCTACTGAAGCTGCTGTCAACACAATAGCTCCATATGTGTCCACAGATCCGCCCACACATTACGACAAGTCACGTACATCTACATTGAGTAGCAGGGTATACTAATGTACCACTGTACACACCAGTCTTATAATATAGACTCGATGTACCATGACTGTTGTGTGCAGATGTGATGACAATTTGGGTGTGTATCTGGCGTCTTTGGAAACTAGTCAAATTTCCCAGCCTCGGCCAAAGAAGTCTCCCTGTTCGCAATTTACAAGGAAACTGCTGACATATCCAGGGACTTGTATATACCCATATTTGGTATTTTACATAGCACACCCTAAAATCAACTCTTGGCCGTGTCCACTTGCCTGCCAACTCAGATTCGTATGAACAACTCTCTCAAATAAATAATGGTACACGAGTTTAGCAGTGGGAGAATCATGCTGCAAACATGTTATCTCTCTTACTCAATGCATGTAGGTGTAAAAACCAGGTAAGTGTAATGTGAGGAGTTCTTGAGTTGCGTTCACCCAAAACTACTTGTATGTCGTTGTTCCGCAGACTATACACAAATATTTCCCTGAATTGGACAGGGAGGGCATATAGAGTATGAATCTAAGGGGATGCAGAGATTGGAAATTGCAGAAGGAATGTGAAGTATTCACTAACTTCTACTGTTACACATGCAGAAGCTTTAACCACTTACACAAAATCCCCCCAACTACACTAGAGTTAGTGGGCTACATACTTCTTCAGAACACTCCCTTTAAGACCTATCCTCACAACAGTATATACAACATAGTAATAAAAGAAAATAATATGCCTAGAGAATAGAAACACTCACTAAGGGGCATGTATGTCGTACTAGCAATGTACAGAGAATCATGTTTTATCGAAAGGTATGTTGATCCCATGGGCATGGGCACAGGTATGTTTACACTGACTGATTAGATTGCTAGGTACTACTATATAGTTAGAGTCAAATGTACACACAGCCTCTCACGTAAGGTAACTGAATGTGAAATGATTAGGTTTAAAGTAACCAGTGGTTCCCCCGGACTTCCTTAGTACTATGTTTAGTGCACTATGGTGCTTACATCATGATGACAAACACAAGGTTATAGTTACGTAGTTCTAGAAAACCTCCGGGATGTGGTCAGAAACTAGAACTTCACAAACAATTATTGTGGATTGCTTGTTTGGCCGTAAAATTTTTACTGGTTTTAAAAGTTGTCAACCCAAAAGTACCTCACAAAATACTAAAAAAACATTCATAATGTTGTACGTGTGTCAACAGAAAGTGTTAGGAAAGAGAGGTGTTAGCAATTAGGGTGATATAGTGTCAGACATCGCCCACAACATCCACCCACTCCAACTGCTGTCTGCCAACAACTCTCCTTTCACAGCCGACTGTATGCAATGAGACGTGTGGCTAGCATATTGGAAGGTGCCTGAGGGATACTTCTCAT